TTAAAACCTGGCTGTGTCGGCAGGCCTGGGGTCGATGAGTTCCCTTCCCCTCTTGAATTGTGTGGCTGTTGGTGGTTTTTAAATTCCCTGTATTTTTTGTTGTAGTTCTTGTGTTTTCCCTCCCCCCTCCTTTGGGTTTGTGCGCCGCCCTGAGTCCCGCCGGGAATAGGGCGGCATATAAATAAAATGAACCTTGAACCTTTAAAATCCACCTACCTTTTTTATAGAAATATGACAAAGAAATAGATTTATGAGGTTTCTGAGATTGATTTAGCCCCACAGCCTGCGACTCCGGAGAAGAATATACAAAAGTGGAAGAAACTTTTTTCTTAGGGGACTTCATGGGAGAGAGGTACCTTTAAAAAAAAGGATACAAAGATACAGAATAAAAAGGGTAATATGGGTAATAATATTCTAGATCACAAGCCTAATTTTCAAAATGACTGGGTATAAGGTGGGCTACCTCCTTCTCCATTAATTTCTTTCCAATCCATCTCTCAATGACTGTTACTAATAAGACACAGCTCACACAACTAGAAAAATTGCAGACAAAACATCATACAGTATCTCTTTCCTGCTGCACTTCTTTGTTTACTGTCTTACCCTACTTAGATTTTAATTCAAGTTAAACTTGCATTTGCTGTAAACCTCCTTAGATGCCATAATGTCTCAAAGATAGTAATATACAGAATAAAAATATCAGAAAGTAGCACTGTTCAAACAGATAAAAGGATGCTGCAAAGTGCAAGATATGGAATCATGGATTTAAACTGCAGACTATCTGCATCTATAGGGGGAAGCAGATCAACAAAAACAACCTTGCATTAAGAAAAAACCTGCACACTCTTTTCTGCATTATAACGATATCTGCCTGCCCCCCAAAAAGCAAAGCTTGCAACACAACAGCAGAACACTACTTTCATGATTTTGACAAAATCAGCAAGTACTGAAGCTTATGATTACAGGAAAGCAAATTCTGAGTGAATATTAGAGAAATTCTTAAGAGAAAGTACCACTTGACAATGTTAACAGTTACCCAAATAGGTAGCAAGCTTCCGTTTCCTGCTGCATTATGTTCAAGCAGATGCTACACAACCATCTATCAGCAATCTTTTAATCTGGATTCCCATAGAGGGTATCTCTGTATGAAAGTGGAAAATATTTCCTTTGAGGACCATCTTACTTACAAATCTGCAGCACTGTGGTTATGTTGATGAGGCTGAGTAAAATAGTTGGCAGGTTCGGGCTCATCAGCCTGCCCCTCTCGGTCTTTGGACTGCTTTATCAGTTCAAATAATGGTGAATTCTATAAAAGACACCAAACAATAATTACGTTTCTTATTTAAATTCTTCTTACTCATAACACAATAGTCTATCTTAAAAATGCTATTTATCAGTACTCAGAATGGAAGCTAACTTTCATATATGTTTCAAACATTTGTCAATACAGCTTTTAACCGCAAGGAATTTAGCAACTATAATACTTATATATGAAGTATATATGCATACAGAAAGCTGCATGTTAAGTTATTTAAATAATTATATTAGTAAATCACAAATTATGAAATATATAAAGAAATCAATGAGATATAAGCATACACAAATTTGTAAGACTTTGTATCCTGATTTATTTTAATTTGTGTCGCAAATAAGCTTGATTTCCACATTAATAATACCATGTAAAAATGTGCTATTCTGAGTCCCAATAAGGTTCAATTCTATAAGCTTATATTAGATGGACAGGCCTTCTAAATCTTGCCCTGCCAATTCTGGTTGCCAATGAAAAAAGGGCAGTGCTGCAGAGTACCATAATAGTATCCAAGTCCTGAAACTTTCTACATGTGGCTACAAGAGCCTACATGTGGCTACAAGAGCCAAGGTGGCGCAGTGGTTAAATGCAGCACTGCAGGCTACTGCTAGATCAGCAGTTCAGCGGTTCAAATCTCACCGGCTCAGGGT